CCTGTTCATTGACATCAGTGCCGAATTCGATCAAGCATTTGGCGATGTCGATAAACAGCGTGTGGTTGTCATTATCTCTGGCCTTCACCAGCGACGGATCCTCCTTCAGGAGCTTCCGTCATTTTGATGTGTGTGCCACAGTAACAACGACGTGCGCTCACCCTCACCTTCTCCTTCTCCTTCTTTGTGCTGCCTGAACTCATGGTTTGTTTGGTTGAAATTGGAAATTTTAGTTCATAAACCAAACGACGTATCGATTATTCTCTTCAATTTCAGCTTTCTATTCATTCAACTCGAGTGTCAACTAACCTATCTTAAAATAGGTTTAACCCATCATTCAATCAATGGTAAGTCAACCCGACTCGTCCCATTTTTAGCGGTTGACGCGAGCCAGACGGATAGGCCGTTTTGCCATCTCAATATATGTAATAAAATCTGCATTTTTTTATAATTTGTTAAAAAGTAATGCAATTTGTTTGAAAAATTTAGAAAAGTCAATATAAAATTAAAAAAATTTAAATGTTGAAAATATGAAAAGTCAACAAGGACATAGATGAAAAAAATAAAAATTTAATAGAAAAATAAATCGAAATAATTTAAAACAATGAAAGTTTGGGGTTTGGTGATTGTGCACTGGCAATTATAGTAGAAGAACATTTACGTCATATGTTCCTGGTACTGAAAATAGTTTACCAAACATTGAGAGTGTATTCAAATTAAAAACTTGTTTTTATTCATTAATCAACATTTCATATATACACACTTGCTCACATACACATGAACAGCTAGCTAATAAGAGGTAGACTTTAGAGTTTCCTTGAAATTATTCCAGGTTGACCAACCAAAAGCATAGGAAACTTCATGAGACAATCATTTTAGACAGTTTAATGAAAACGACTCTTATATATAATTTTCCACAATGAGATTCATTTGTTCCAACTCATACGAGGAAGAGTTGAATCTGATATCCATCCACTATATATCCGGTCAAAGCATCAAACTAAAAATCATTTGAGGACAGTGACGACGTAAATTTTTTCTCTCGCTTGTTTTGTGGCTTTAATTAGTCTATCGGAGGTTACTTTGTTGTTGTTACATATTTTGAATTTTGAATTTAATATAATATGAGTTAATTGTGTTTTGTATTTAATAAGAGCTAATTGCGTTTTGTATTTAATTTAATAAGAGTTGATTGTGTTTTGTTAGAAGTTGCAATTTTACAAGTTGGTTACGTATATCGTCGCCAATTCAAATTTATTTGTAATTTGTAATTCTGAGCCTATTTATTAGAGCTAGACTTCTGCTAACAACTCTAAGTGAGGAGCGAAGCCATATCCGACCCAAGCTCTCTAACAAGTTTAAAAATGGGTGTAGAATCATCATAACTACTAGAGATAAGCAAGTGCTTACTAAATGGGTTGATGATATATACAAGGTTGGGGCACTGGACTTTGACGAGTCTTTCCAGCTTTTCAATTTGAATTCCTTTGAACATAATCATATTGACGTGGAACACTATGAACTATCTAAGAGGATGGTCAAGAATGCCAAAGGGCATTCCATTAGTTCTTAAAGTTTGGGGTCATCTTCTTCGTGGAAAAGATAAAGAAATATGGGAAAGCCAATCAAAAAGGCTAAAAAAAGTGCCAAATTATTAAAGTTAGTATTGATGATGATCTTAATCATTACTAGAAGAAGATATTTTTGGGCATTGCATGTTTTTTTTGATGAATTGAATTTGAATGTTGACAAAATAAAACTCTTATTACAGGATCATGATTATTCTGTTGTTGCTGAGTTAGAAAGGTTAAAAGAATAAAGCTCTTATAACTATTTCTCAAGAGAATATTGTATCCATGCATGACATTATACAAGAAAACCCTTGGGAGATGGTTCGCCAAGAATCTATTGAAGGCCCCGGAAACCGAAGTCGACTGTTGGATACTGATGACGTTTATCAAGTACTCAAAAACAACAAGGTAAAAATCCCTAAGTTACAAAAATGTATCTTATTTTTTTGGAGGAAAAGTGAGTTATAAGATGTTTGAAAATTTTCTACTACTTTGGTGGCGGGGGAGTGAGTGAGGTCATCAGAAGCATAGTCCTCAACTCGTCAATCTTATTTGTTAAGATGAGGAAACTACAATTTCTTGATTTTAATTGTAAGTGGCCGCCTTATAGATTCCTTCAGGATCAAGTGGGCTTATATTGTATCTTCCTCAAGGGGGCTAGAATCTTTGCCAAATGAACTAAGATATCTTCGGTGGGCTTGCTACCCTTTGGAATCCTTGCCATCCAAGTTTTCTGCGGAAAATATTATTGAATTGAACTTGCCCTGCAGCGCAGAGTGAAAAAATGAAAGCAAATTAATAAATTATTCGAGGTCAATCTTTGAAATGGTCCAGATCAGGTAAGCAATGACTAGGAGTATAAGTTAAATTGAAACTTAGTTAGCATTGTACAATAATTAAATTAAATAAATACTATTGAAAGATGTCTATATAAACAAACCATAAACCAAAACCAGATCTCACATCGCAATAAAGCACACACGGAGAGAAAGAGATAACAGAATTAGAATCATTGAATCACAGTGTTTTGTCCAATTAACGATCCTGTTCGTTAACTGACATCAGTGCCGAATTCGATCAAGCATTTGGCGACGTCGATCCAGACGTGCGGTTGTCGTCATCTGCGGCCTTCACCAGAGCGAGGGATCCTCCTGCAGGAGCTTTCGCACCGCCGCAGTATCAAAGACGTACGGCTCACGCTCGCCCTTTCCTTCTTATGCTTCTCTGTGCTGCATGAACTCATGGTTTGTTTGGTTGAAAGTTGAAACTGATTGCTTTTAGTTCAGAAACCAAACGACGTGTCGGTTATTCTCCTCAATTTCAGCTTTCTATTCATACAATACAACACTGCATGTATAATAAAATTGACCCTTTAACCATTCCAATTCCAGCTCGAGTGTGAACCAACCCAACGAATATTTTTTGTGCACCATTACAGGTAAGCAACCTCTTCCCGTCCAGCACTGCCATCAACCCGCCTGCGAAAGAGCCGTCAACTCCACCCGACTTTTGACAGTAAGTTGACAAGTCAACCCCCTCCACCAGCTTCTTTTTTTTTTTAGTTTTCTTTATTTCTTTTTTAAATCTAAATACTTAATTAACGGTTTAACAAAAGTAGTAAGGCATTTGATTAAAGTAGAAAACAAAAAACAAGGAAAACACGTTAAAATGGGTTATGCTCGAAAATGTGACTGTATAAAAGGTAAGCAACCTCTTTACTTTGAGTACAGCTTTACTCCTTCTACATGACACAAGCTATTTTCTTATACATATATAAAAGTGAGCCCATCAATTTTTTTACTTTTCTTTTATTTTAAAAATAGTAGATCTCACAATTGATTATCTCTATGACATGACCTAAGAATTTTCCTACAACGTAATATTAGTTTTTCCCATTTACTTTATTGGAAATATCAGCTAGAAACTCAGTAAGTTTCTATGCTTGCTGGCCTTCTTTGGCATTCTGCATGGGAGGAATAGAATCCGAGAATGATATCTTTTACAAAGCATAACCTGTCCCGTAATCTGTTCAAAGCTCCCTGCCCAGCTATATATATTCGACTAGGGGTGTAAATAGGCCAGGGCAGGGCAGACTTTGGCCTTCCTGGCCTAGGTCTACAGACAAAAATGTTGAGCCTATCTAGCCTATGAACCTATCAAAGGCTTAGTTTAAAGGTCAAGCCTGCCCTGTTATTAAAAAATAAAAAGCCTGCATGGCCTATGAGGCCTTTTAGGCCTACCATATTGCATATTAAATTTAAAAAAAAAATGAAATATCTTATTCATTAAACAATATTTCTAGCATTTGTCCAAATTATTAAAATTCTACAACAGATTTTTTAACAAGAACACATATTATAAAAATTCATGACAACAAAGATTGAATTTTTCTTGGCATACTAAAACAAAAGCAATTAGGTTATCTAACTTTTAGAATAAATAAATAAATATATAAAATAATTTTTTATTTAAATATTAAGTAGGCCGGCCTACAAGCTAAAAGGCCAGGCATTTTATGTTTAGCCTACGGCCTTGTTTCTAAACAGGCTCATCTACAAGCCTTAACCTACTCTTCTTACCTCGTAGGCCAGGACAGGTCAGGCTTTTCGTAGGCCAGGCCATAGGCCCCTGTAGGCTGGCTTGGCCCATTTACGCCCCTATATTCGACCCCGTTTTTTGCTATTCCTTCGTCTTCCAACTCTTTTCCTCTCCTTTCATCACAGCATGATTCTGCCTCCTTTGAAAAGCAAAAGCAATAAATAAATAAATAAAAATTGAGTTGCCGGTCTAATCCGCCCTAAGTCGGGCTAACAAATTGAAAAATTCAGTCCTTTCTATCTCATTTGCCGGACTGAGCCCATTTTAACATCTCTATTGGCGACCCATCCATGGATTAAGTTGATATTTTCAACCCATCATTAAATGATGAGTCAATTAATCCTGTAGGTATGCAGCATGATAACATTTTGATAATTATTTGTTTAAAAAAATTTAGAAAAGTAAATATAAAAATAAAAAGTATTTAATATCTCTTATGTTGTAAAAAATAATTTTATCTCCTAAATTCAATTTTTACAAATACATAAAAATACGTGAAGCGCATATACCTTATATACTTTAATGTAAATAGAAAATAATTGAAAAATTTGAAAATCTTGCTGATCCATAAGGACCGGTAATGTGGTATGTTAATTGAAATTGTTGCAGATACAAAGTCCAGTTCTTTATTGAGCCTAGAGCCCTCCATATATATCCCAAAAAAAGAAAAAGTCCAGTTCTTTAAGCTGTTTGACTGTGATATTTTCATTTCTCTTCTCTCTTTATTTTTGTTTAGCAGACATATTGTGGCTTGCTTATTTTTTTATTTTATTTTTATTTTATTTTTTTGTGTAGAGAAAAAGAAAGATCCCGAGTGGACGCGTGAATACGATGGCATATTCTTTTTCCACAGCTGAGCAAATAAAATATGTTGTTGTATTTGCTTGTCTCTTGCTTCTTTTGAAATTGGAGGGAATAGTGGCGGCCAAAAAAGTAACAGCAGACAACGATTCTAAGGATCTAGTGGTGTTTTTTTCTGGCTCTGCTCCTCAGATAAAGTATGATGTCTTTCTCAACTTTAGAGGTGCAGACATTCGTGAAGGTTTCCTTAGTCATTTGAATAAAACTTTATATCAAAAGCAGATTTTTCCCTTCGTAGATGACAAGCTCCCCAAAGGGGGTGAAATATCGAAAGATCTTCTTGGAGCAATTGAAAGATCATTGATTTCATTGGTCATATTCTCACCAAACTATGCTTCTTCATCTTGGTGTTTGCTAGAGCTTGTGAAAATAGTTGAGTGCAGAGCAAAAGATGGACAGATTGTGCTACCCGTTTTCTACAAAGTCGATCCCTCACAAGTACGGCATCAAAAGGGGGCTTATAAAAATGCACTTTCTGAACATGAAAAAGGGCATAGTTTAATCAGGGTGCAAACTTGGAGATCTGCTCTGAACGAAGCTGCTAATTTAGAAGGATTTCATTCTTCAAATTTTCGGTAAGTTTATTTGAAATAAATAAATAAATGTTCAATATTTTCCCGCTGTGTATTTATTATATAGCTATATGTCTCTGTTGAGATATATAAACTCCACATTAGTTGCTGTTGAGCAACCAACGTCCGACTATATATCTCAAGAGCCTCTTATCAAACTTGTTCCTTATAGACTTTTATCTAGTTTTACATCCCAAAGTAAGGCGTGTTTAAAATAATAATAATAATTATGTCATTTATATTCTTACATTTTCTCGTTTCTTTTGTAGGAATGAAGCCGAGCTTGTTGAAGATATAGTTAAATGGGTACAGAAGAGATTGAAACATGTGCACCAAGTTAACTCAAAAGGATTTGTTGGAATTGCAAAACCAATTTCACATGTAGAATCACTGTTACGGTTAGAGTCAGAAGATGTTCGTGTTATTGGGATTTGGGGTATGGGTGGTATTGGTAAGACAACTATTGCAGAAGAAGTATATAACAGATTGCATGCTGATTATGAAGGGTATTGTTTTCTGGCAAATGTAAGAGAAGAGTTGGGAAGACAGGGAATAATCTCTTTAAAGACAAAGCTTTTTTCCACACTACTATGGGAACAAGACTTGAAAATTGAAACCCCAAATGTATTGCCTACTTATGTGGAGAAAAGGCTTCGTCGTATGAAGGTTCTTATTGTTCTTGACGATGTCAATGATTCGGAGCAACTAGAAAGTTTAGTTGGAACAAAGGACAGGTTTAAAAATGGTAGTAGAATCATCATAACTACTAGAGATAAGCAAGTGCTTGCTAAATGGGTTGATGATATATACAAAGTTGAGGCACTGGACTTTGATGAGTCTTTCCGGCTTTTCAAGTTGAATGCCTTTGAACATAATCATATTGACATAGAATACTATGAACTGTCTAAGAGCATGGTCGATTATGCCAAAGGCGTTCCAGTAGTTCTTAAAGTCTTGGGTCATCTTCTTCGTGGAAAAGATAAAGAAATATGGGAAAGCCAATCAAAAAGGCTCAAAAAAGTGCCCAATAAAAAGGTTCATGATGTTATTAAGATTAGCATTGATGAGGATCTTGATCATGATGAGAAGAAGATATTTTTGGATATTGCATGTTTTTTCGATGGATTGAATTTGAATGTTGACAAAATAAAACTTCTATTAAAGGATCGTGATTATTCTGTTGCTGCTGCGTTAGAAAGGTTAAAAGATAAAGCTCTTATAACTATTTCTCAAAAGAATATTGTATCCATGCATAACATTATACAAGAAACAGCTTGGGAGATGGTTCGCCAAGAATCTATTGAAGACCCCGGACACCGAAGTCGACTGTTGGATACTGATGACATTTATCAAGTACTGAAAAATAACAAGGTAAAATCCCTAAGTTACAAAAATGTATCTTATTTTTTGTAGGAACAGCGAGTTATAAGATGTTTGAAAATTTTCTACTACTTTGGTGGCAGGGGAGTGAGGCCATCAGAAGCATAGTCCTCAACTCGTCGATGATTAAGGAGCTGCAGTTAAGCCCTCAAGTATTTGCTAAGATGAGCAAACTACAATTTCTTGATTTGTATTGTGATTGGCCTTATAAAGTGTTGTATCTTCCTCAAGGGCTTGAATCTTTGCCAAATGAACTACGATATCTTCGGTGGGCTTCCTACCCTTTGGAATCCTTGCCATCCAAGTTTTCTGCGGAAAATCTTGTTGAATTGAACTTGCCCTACAGCCGAGTGAAAAAACTTTGGCACCAAGTGCAGGTAAATAATACATGTGTGCATTTGCATTCTAAGGAATACAAATAAACAACTTCCATTAGCTCATGCTTTTGTTTAATTTGTTACAGGAACTTGAGAATTTAAACACCCTCGTACTGCATTCATCCACAAGCCTGCTGGAACTGCCAGACTTTTCAAAGGCCACAAATCTTAAAGTCATAGATCTCCGTTTTTGTCTAGAGCTGACTAGTGTGCATCCATCCGTTTTCTCTCTCAACAAGCTTGAGAAATTGGATCTAGGTGGATGCATTTCCCTTTCAACCCTTGGAAGCAATATCCATCTGAGCTCCCTTCGTTTTCTCTCCCTCAATGGCACGGGTATCAAACAACTACCCTCCTCTATTGAACTTCAAAGCAAACTTCAAAAGCTAAATCTAGCACGCACTTACATTGAGAACTTGCCTACAAGCATCAAGCATCTTACAAAGCTTCGACATCTAGATATTCGCCACTGTAGCGAGCTTCCGACTATACCTGAGCTTCCCCCATCACTTGAAATACTAGATGCCAGTGGCTGCATATCACTGGAGAGTGTGTTGTTCCCTTCAACCACTAGTGAACAACTGAATGAAAACAAGAAAAGGGTAGCCTTCTGGAATTGCTTGAAATTGGATGAACATTCTCTCAGGGCTATTGAGCTGAATGCGCAAGTTAACATGATGAAATTTGCATTCCAACATTTATCCACATTTGGTCGTGATTATGATGCTCAAATCACTAATGTGTATCAGGGAAGCAGAGTTTTGTTGTATGGGAACACAACACGTGACTTCCTATGCATCGATTTCTGTTTTACTCCGCAGTCCCTTCAGTTGAGCTACATTTTGGATGAACACCCTGTCAGTGCTATCAGGCTGAATGCCCTTGCACACCAACATTTATCCACAATTGGTCGCAGTAATGCTGCTCAAAGCACTTATGTGTATCCGGGAAGCAAAGTTCCAGAGTGGCTGGTGTATGGGACAACACAAGACTCCCTAACTATTGATCTCTCTTTTGGTCCGCAGTCCCCTGAGATGGGCTTCATTTTTTGCTTCGTAGTTCCGCAGGTTCAATCAGAGGGTTTGTTTTTTAAATTTAAGATCAGTGTTGGTGAAGATGAAGGTAACACTGTGTACCTGGACAGACCACGTCATGGAATTATATCGGATCATGTGTATCTAATGTATGACCAAGGATGTTCCAGCTACCTGAATAGCCAAGCCAAACATCAGCCAAGGTTTAAAATCAAGGTTACAGCAGCATCACGAACACTGACATCACAGTACGTGCCATTGCTGTTAAGAGGGTTTGGGGTCAGCCCAGTAGATGCCTCACAATATCTCAGTTTTCTTCAACAAATATTTGAATGATAGTACTATTCCAACAGTACGTGCAGTTCTCGAAGGTTCACTCTCTCTCTCTATCTGCTGCTACTTGGTCTTCATTGCCTAGCTTTCACTGAGACTGGTTTCTTAATTTTTTTTCAGTACCAATTTTTACTGATATCATGATGGCGAATTCTAGGAGTAGTTCACGAGATTGCTTTGTTACGGGTCCATTGAATTGGGGAATTGTTTGTAGGATATATATTGTTATTCATTATGTACGATTACCTATCATTGGAAATGTGCAGAAAGTTCTTTTTTTCCTCTTCTTTATCCTTGCAATGTAATGCCTAGTCATCATTGTTCCCTTTAAGTTTTTTGTACCTCTTGCTTTCAAATCGTTGTTATCAAATATTTCTCCTCCCTTCCCCTCTCTATAGAGTAAAATGAAGAACATTTTTGGAAAGTAAACTAAATGCAAGTTATATGATTGAGACTTACTGGTCTTCACTCTACTTGTTCTTTACTATTTATCTTTCCCTATGGAGTTTTTAACCTAAATTTTTTATGTAATCACCAAACAGCATTTAACCCTTTTTTTAAGCTCTTTTTTTTTAGCTTTACCTTAAAGTAGCTTTTATCTTAAAAAAATGATCCAAACAGGTTCTTAATATAAGAATCATGTATGCACGGTATATCATTTGAAACATAACCAACAGCACATGATACGTACCTCCAGAGCCTCAAATAATAAGAAAATCCACATACAGGTAATACAAGCTGTTATTATTTATAAATACCATTTTTCCAACATCGATAATGTTGTCATATTCATATGCTCATAAGGCTAAGGTCCTTACTTTTAATTTTCAGTTCTATTTGGCCAACTCATAAGACTCAATTTGGCAAGTGTAAATTCTGGTTGAGTTTAGAGTTTAAAGAAAATACAACATTGTTGTATCTTTTGGGCATTATAGGCCCTTGAAGGTGTCTTACCTTGGATAAAGTGTGTATGATCTGAAGTTTAGGATGGAATAGATTCCCTATACATCCGAATCGATTCCTATTATTTCCAGTCAGCAAGGAATCTATTCCTTCTGTAATCAGAGGCACTTCAAGCACGAATTCAAGGGGCTTTCGTGCATAACCCTTTTCATCCACTGGTTTACTTCAATTCATTACCATTTTCTACATACACAACCACATATTCTTCATATTTCACAATTTTGACCAACTTACATTGCATGTAATCAACATTTGCATGTATGAATGCAACTTATTCCAGGAATGTTAACTAAGAAAGAAGGGGATTTAAGTCACACAAATTCACCACAACATAAACGTGCTTAGTTAAATGGGGTGTTTTGAGCTCCCAAAAGTTACCTCAAACTCTACAAATGCTAAGCTTGTGTACTGAATCGCAACCACACCTTCGCCTTCCTTAGACAGCTTTTGTTATATAAATCTCAGCTTCTCCTTGAAAGGTGAAAAGATAAAGTGAAAAGATAAAAGTTTTTTATTTGTTTGAAAGGTGAAAAAAACAGAGAAAAGAGAGGTGCAGTTTTTTGAGGTGGAAAGATTTGCTTAAAAATAATGGTTATTATGTTGCAGCAGTTATCTCTTCAACAGACATAAAAATATGTAGAATGATATGTGCGAAATAGAGAAGAAGAAAAAACATGAGTCTCCTACATTTTTTTTTTTTAACGCATATCACTTAATATAATTACCTACACATTTTATCATTAAGCTGATAGTTGCCCATATTTTTATGCATATATAAAAGATAAAAAAAATATTAATATTATAATTTAATAGTACTGTATTAATTTGGAATGTTAAATTGTATTAAATAAATCATTCAATTATGGGATGTCACTATCACAAACCCTTCCTTTTTCCAACGCTTTGTAATTCTTATCCACCACTGTATCTATCTATTAAAGAGATAACCTTTGTAACCGAGAGAGACAGAGAGAGAGAGAGAGAGAAACTTAAACCGGCAAGATTATGATGAATTAACTATTGTATTAAAGGGGATTGAAAAAATTGGGAAGGGAACCCTCATATATTTAACATGATTATCTCATGTAAAATATTTCAGTTATTTGTTATAAATTAGTTATTTATAATTTTAGAGAAAGATTATACTTATAATCTTTTTTTTTTTTACAACCTCTTACAATCATATCGTAACATCGTTGATTTCTGTCAATCAATGATTATTATTTATTATGAATTAATAATTAATTAATGAGTTTAATTTGTGAAAATCATAATCGTTGATTGGCAGAAATTAACGGTGTTAAGATATAGTTGTAAGAAATTATAAAAAAAAATTGTAAATATAACTTACCTCATAATTTTAATGATAAATTTCAGATGATGAGAAATGAAAATTGCCGCTTAATTTCTGACCAGTATCTATAAATTAATATGTCTCAAATCATGTTAAAATAAGATATGAGAAGATGAATTCTAATTTTTTTTTAACCTGACCCATTTCGTTATTTTTTTTTTAATTCTCTCTAATTAGTATTAATTTATTTATGTGGCTGAGATTATTTGCCACAACCTGTCATGTGAAAGAGTCTAATCTCTCTGAAACGATCTAATTATTCTTAGACAAAACAACTAATATTCTTTTTGTCATTCTTAACGATATGAATTTAATATTTAGTAGATAATTTTATGTTTAAAAAAGAGAGGAAAAAGTAAAAAAAATAAAATTGAATATGAAAATTTGATAATTTATACTTTTTAGATAATATTATAATTTATTAAATAACAGAAATATATATTATTGTTAATATAATCTTTTTGTTTAAAGTTATTTTTGCCAATGTATACATATAGATACTCATTAATTATTCAGAAACTTTTAAATTTACTGATTTGTATAATCAAATCATAAGTCACAGTTAAAATTGTTTATTTAATAAAACAATCAAATTTAGCTAAACACTTAACCATTGAAGTTAGAATAATTCACGAATGGATACATTCCTTTACCCCTATTCAATTGTGTGATACTAAGAATTATATTATGTTAACGTTTTTTTTTTTTTTTTTTTTTAATGTGAAGTTCAAAAGCGTTATAAGTTCCTAGAGAGAACAGTGTTGAGCTTTATGGTGAGAAAGTCAACGAAAAAACGGGTCTGTGCTATTTCTATGGCTTTTAGGAGGGCTAGCTTGCTGTTTAAGTTTTCAGTTGTTTATTAGAAACTGCCATAATTGGTTTGTTGTTTAATTTTTAAACTTTTTTATCTACCATCATTTTTTAAAAATATTCAGGAACTGCATTGTTATTTTTACCATTATTATCCACAATATCAGTAATATTTACCTTGTCGATTATCTGAATGGTTTCTTGTTGCTGATGCTATTGTTACAATTTGTGTGGAATTTTAGTGTGCTTGTTGTCACGTCATCTATGATATTGTAAGTAGGGGTGCTAAACAGACCAAAGCCTTTCAGGGGCCTTTGGCTCGCCTCGTGAAGGTTTGAGCTTACATGTCTAAAATTTATTGTTTGCAACATGCTTGAACTTGTATAAAAGCTCGTTTAATAAAAAAGCCTCAGGCTCAAATTCAAAAGTTCGGCCTTAAATCCTCTCAGGCTGGCCCAGTATATTATTTTATATTTTTTATACTACTTGTAATAGTCCTCTCTTTCTCCTCAATCCATTTCACCCAAAAACTCATCTGTTCCACTGTGCACCTATGAAGCACCGACACTTCAAAATCCTTGAAGTGTCGTGACCGACACTTTCCGACACTCTTCGACACTCCGACACTCCCCGACACTCTAACACGTGTTATAGAAATTCAAAAAAGGTTCAAAGGTTGCGTTGCGTTGAGTTTTTAGTTTCAACTATTAAATTCGTTGAATTTCGATTACCATTTTATTAAGTTTAATATAAATATTTGGGATATCTTATGTTTCTTTGCAAAATTGATGAATATTATAAGTTTAATTTCATTTTTTTTGTTAAATTATTGAATATTACATATAGTATGCATTACATAAATTAAAAATATTATTTCATATCAAAACGTGTCCTAACGTGTCGAAATCTAATATTTTTTAGAATTAACGTGTCGGAGTGTCGTGTCGGAGTGTCACGTGTCTCGTGTCAGTATCGGTGCTACATAGCTGTGCACTCCTCGTTTGTGTCAATTTATTTTTTCTTTTTTCTTTTTGTTGGCACTTTTTTTATAATGGGCAAAGATAATATAACTTGTTATCTACCTTCTCTCACTTTTCTGTAGAAGTTGCCATTGTCTGTTTTTGGCTTCGGACATACTGACAGAAGCAAGGAGAAGGTAGAAGAAGGTTCCTCATTTCTTGTGCGCTGAGAAAATACTGAAGAAGAGATTTAAATAAATATTGGTTGTGGGCAGTGGCGGACCCAGAAATTTTATTTTATGTCTGCACACTTAGTGGTGAAGATTCGGGATCAACGTTCTAGAATTTTTTATTTTATTTTATTTTAAATGTATTAAAAAACAAAAGAATATAAACAAAAAAGAAAAGAAAACTTCAACTTAACATAAAAAAATAATAATCAAGAGTCATATAAAGGAGATTTTTCTTTTGTTATTTTTTTCATTCTCAATACTCAGAATTTTGAGACCTATACTTAAGAATAATAATAATTTCACAATTTTAGGCAATGATTATTTGTTAAGATTTTTATTCTTATAGCGATGCAAAATAATCTTGCCACATATTTTTTAATTATTTTGATATAAAATATGATTAATTATACCTAATAAATATTCTGCTCATTCAAGAAAAATCCACGTAATATAATATCTGGATAATTATATGCGAAGATAATATATTCTACTTTTTAATTTTTCAGTTTTTCCACTTTGTCTTTAGACCTATCAATTACAGTAACTTCTTTACATTTTCACACCATGATATAGTTAATTTAAGAGCATTAAAATGTGTTTACCAAAAAAAAAAAACGAGCATTCAATAATTTATGTAAAATATATGTTGAGAAAAGTAAAAGTAATTAAGAGCTGGATTACGTAGGATGCATTGAAAAGAATTAATAAACAAGTGTAATCATAAGTTTGCTATCTACGAATCTCTTAAAAAGATTCAATTTTGGTACTGTAATTACAAGATTTATTTTCTTTACATGCATTGTCATCAAATTGCATGTTATTAAATATAAAAGTTGGACGGTTATAATTGCACTTATTGTGACTTGTGAAGTTGTTTATTTTTCTTAAATAATATATGGTGGATGAAGAGTACAAAACAACTAAACAAGATATTAGGCAATGTAGTTAAATCTTTTTTTTTTTCTAAAAATTCATGTCTGCATTTGCAGACATTGATCCCAATATGGGTCCGCCGCTGGTTGTGGGGGTGTTGTGAGGGCTTGAGCAGAACTCATAGGAGTAACTGCATACATTTTTAAGACTTGCATATGGCAATCACAAATGTGACTCGAGTGTGTGACGGTGCGACAGATATAACTTCAACCTAATTTTCTACATTTGAAGCATGGCTAAAATTAGAATTTAGGACCACCCATACTCAAAAGTACTCAAAAGTATTTTGCATGCCTCAGCTTACCTCTCAAAAAATAAATAATATTAATATCATCATAACTTAAAACAGAAACACGTGTTAGTTAAAACAGTTCCATTTTCCCAACAAAATAACATTGTTTTCTTAAATGCAATTTCACAGGAGAAATTATGTTCAACTTAACTACGAATAAAAAAAAAGGTGCGGATCAAATGCAAAATGATAGTTTCAAAATAAACACATTATCATCTACGGGTTGTTCATTTTTCGAAAGTATAGCCCTTCTTTAATAGAATTACAACCTGCTATATATTTTAATGGAAAAATTGGCATCTAGACAAACCAAAATGTCTCATTTGCAACTAAAAATTTCTTGAGTTCAGTGACATTTATTAGTAAGGAATAAATCTTTGGTGCATCTGTTGCACCTAGATTCAGTGCATTTCATCAATGAGAGTATTACATGTCAGAGGAGAGAGAGAGAGAGAATTTGATGGAAAAAAGAAAATTTTGACTAACATGTAATATTTTCATTGGTGGGATATACTGAATCTTTGATGCAACAGTAGCACCAAAAATTTATTCATTAGTATAAGAGAGAAAAATTAAGCACAATTACAAAGCAAACCATAATGAAGTTGAAACAACATTCCCTAGGATTCCATACAAATCCTCAAAGACATGCATCTTATCTTAGTGGACTACAGGATAGTGGAGGAATATTGAAATATGTGGAGAGAAGGTGAGTATATCCTTGGGTTTGGTGAGGGCCTCTGGGTAACAAGAATATCCTTGGATATGGGTCAGGTAAGGTCTTCTTGGGCTTACATTTTGGGTGAACACTTGGCGAGGCTTCAGAATAGAGTATGATCCAGATTATAAAAGTTTGTACATGTTAATGGATTGGGCCATGAAAAAGGAATTGGATAGTAGCCAATTTAAAGTCATTTGGATTGCATTGGGTCCAATTTATATACTCTCTTTCTTTTATTATTACTTAAAAAAAACTTATTATGCATCTTTGGGACAAAAACATGATTTTGTTAATGTCCAGAAGAGGCTATCACCTTTCTTACTTAATATCTGTAGTCACGCTAAACCACTAGGGTGTGTGAGTGTGTTAGGTGTGTGTAGTGTGGTGTGTTCAATTCCCATGTAATGCAAAAAAAAAAAAAAAAAAAAATCTGTAGTCACACTTTGATAAAATCAAAGTGCAAGATTAATATAAGAATTAAAATTTAGAAACAAATTTGTTTAAATCTTACACTAAACTCTTTCGTATTTATTTATTCTAAAAATTAGAGAAAAACTACATAAAAAAAAAAAATCAGGGTTGACACTAAAATAAAATTAAAAGTACAAATAAATAAATAATAGTTCATACATTTTTTGATGATTGATTGTAAAAGAAAGAGAAAAAATATTATTTAATTGTAACTTTATCTCTTATTTTTAAAATATTTGTTATTTTAAAGGGCACAATTTTACATTATTTTAGATTAAATGACATCATTTTGATATATAATTAGTGATTTTTTTGCATTTTTTTATCCTTTACTTTCTTTCTCTTTCTAATCCTACACGGGAGAAAAAATATAAAAATTTCACCAGATATAAGACAAAACTGTTGGGAGACAAAGTCGTGTTTTTAGAAAAGAAATCCTTTCCCCTTTTAAAATACGTGGAACATAATAAAATTTATATAGTATGTTTGATATCGGTATAGGTATAGCTTACAAAGAATAGCATAGCAGCCATTGAGCAAAGTCTGTTGAGGCAACACGACACTAAAGAAGAGATCTCATAGTTTCAACATGGAGCGAATATGAGTTTTCTCTTCGGCAGTAGAAAGACTCCTGCAGGTTCTTGTTCTTTCTCTTTTGCCAATTTTTTATTTTACTATCAAATGGGTACGTTTTCGTTGTGATTGTGATTGTGATTGTGTTGATTGAATCGAGCAATTTGGTTAGAGAAAAAAAAAAATGACGGGTTGATTTTTGTTTGGCTTCTCCGTTTCGAAAAAAATTGTGTCTTTGATTAGGAATTGGGTTTGTTTGTTAAAGGGTAGTTTTGTTACTTGTGATGATGACAGAGCTTCTGAGGGAAAATAAAAGGATGCTAGACAAGTCCATTAGAGAAATAGAAAGGGAAAGGCAAGGCTTGCAGACTCAAGAGAAGAAGTTGATTCTTGAGATTAAGAAGAACGCCAAACAAGGACAGATGGTATTATTTCTTTCTTTATTTTTTTGGTTTTTTAATGATTTTATTTTATTGATTGATTTTGACTTTCTTCAGTAGTTTATGTGTGAGGAGAAGTTTGTTGCTTTGTATGGATTGTGATTTAATGTGGAGGGATGGTGCTAAGAATTGAGATTATTTGATTGGGTACATGATATGCATTTTCATATGTTTTGGTCTGGTTCAAATAGTTTGTGGGTTTGGCTTAAATTTGTCAGGGGGAAGTGAGAGTGATGGCCAAGGATCTTATCAGAACTCGCCATCAGATTGGGAAGTTTTACAAGCTTAAATCGCAACTTCAGGGTGTTGCTTTGAGAATTCAGGTTTGTTTTTCTCATTTTGTTTGCAAGTCACTGTACTTGAAGGTTTCTTCATGCATAATGAGCTCCTCGGAAAGAAACAGATAAGTTAAAAGATTGTGTGTTTGACATTATATTACTCCTTTTACATACTAGTTCAATGGAAAATAGTAATGAACGAAGTGTCACTGGTTATGTTGCACTTACTGTTTATGATTTTGATGGTTAAAGCCTGAAGTTGTTCTGAATGATTGATTAATGTAGTCTTTTGATGATTTTGTTGATGCATAAGTATTTGAGGGAGGAAAAAATAAAAAGATAAAGGGGGTTACCGTTCATACCTTTCTGATAACACATTCCTCTTATAGAATTATTTCCAAATTTTCGATAAAGCCACATAGGACAATAACATTGGTGGTGAATCTTAGAGGGAAAGTTTCACCCCCTTTTTTCACTCCCTTAGATTATTTTTTATTCATTATAAATTCTATTATGTATCAAACAACTGGAGGGTCAAGACTTTCTGTGCTTTCTGATATTTAATGTTGGGTACTAAAGAGTTAGCAAGAGCATGAGAATGTTACACCAGATAAGCGAAAATGCAAGACAAGATATTATAGAGAAGATAAAAATAATACCTATTGAGGAAAAGATGGTAGAATCTGTATAAGATGATTTGATCACGTGAGAAGAAGACTAATAATAAATGCCCTAATAAGAAATTTATCAAAAAAAAAAAAGCTTAGTAAGAAGAGTGGATCAAATAGAGGATAGTCCTATAGATGTAGTTTTTTTATTGGTAAGATAAAATTATCTGAAGGTATAAAAAAGTAATCAATGGTAAAAAAGAACTCTTTAATTTACACCGGGCTAGATTTGAGGGTTTGATTGAAATTATTCCAGTTAATTCATATTAACTGGACGGGTCGAAACTTGAGTCACATTAGGAAGTCCATCTTTGACTTTTGGACAAAGCTAAGATAGAAACTAATAGGTGAAGATGAGGAGAGAGAAACTAGAGTACAGCTGTTGTACACTATTGGGTATTATTTTTTCCAATTTTGGAAAAGTTCTTTTCATTCTATTCCTTTTCTTTAATTTTATTTCCATATAGCTCCCCAAAAACTTTCACCTTTGAAGATTTTCCCCCATATGAGGTAAATAAAAACTTTGACTAGTATAATTAAAATTGAAATTTATCTTTATACAAGAATTAAATTAAATAAATACTATTGAGAAATCCATGTGTAAACCATAAACCAAAACCTAAATCTCATATCGCAATAAAGCACAAAACTCATTTCGCAATAAAGCACACACGGAGAGAAAGAGATAACAGAATTAGAATCAGTGAATCACAGTGTTTTTCCAACGATCCTGTGCGTTGACATCAGCGCCGAATTCAATCAAGCATTTGGCGACGTCGATCCAGCCGTGCGGTTGTCGTAATCTCCGGCCTTCACCAGCGACGGATCCTCCTGCAGGAGCTTTCGCTCCGCCGCAGTATCAAAGACGTTCGGCTCCTCCTTCTCCTTCTCTGTGCTGCCTGAACTCATGGTTTGTCTGGTTGAAAGTTGAAACTGATTGCTTTCAGTTCAGAAACCAAACGAGGTGTCAGTGATTCTCCTCGAACACACGCGTTCCAATTCCAAACTTGAGTGTGAAGTGTGAACCAACAGAATGAATTTCTTTTTGATTTGGGGGCCAACCCACCTTTTTAGCATGTTACTGCAGGCCAATTCATTTTACCCATCTCTAATGTAATAAAATATGCATTCTTATATTTTGTTAAAAATTAATGCATTTTGATAGCTATTTGTTTGAAAAATTTAGAAAAGTAAATATAATTAAGAGAGGTCATATTTACTATTACAAAGTTTTATTACTAAATTAATTTTTGTCAATCTAATGGTTATAATTTATTAAGTCATACTTATTAATTAATAATTTTTAATAAATTATAATAATGGTAATTAATTTTAAAGTAGTCCAATTGCCACCAAATAAAAATAAAAAGTTTTAATGTTTCTAATGTTGTAAGAGATAATCTTATTTTCTATCCATATATAAAAGTGTGTGAAATTTATTTTTTTTCATATTTCTTTTTCTCTTTATATGACCCTATATGAATTTCACGTATTTTTATATTTTTATGTGAATAGGAAATAATGTAAACATGAAAAATATCAAATTCAAAATAAAAATATGAAAATTTTGCTAATCTAGAAGGACCGGTAATGTCATATGTTAATTGAACTTGTTGCAGATACAAAGTCCAGTTCTATATTGGGCCTAGAGCCCTCCATATATATACCCAAAAAAAAAGTCCAGTTCTTTAAGCATTTGACTTTGATCTTTTCATTTCTTTTCTCTCTTTATTTTTGTTTAGCAGATATATTGTGGCTTGCTCTTTTTTTTTTTTTTTTTTTTTTGGGAAGCTGCTTATTTTGACATTGGTGTGTAGAGAAAAAGAAAGATCCAGAATGGACGCGTGGATCCAACGACACATTCTTTTTCCAGAGCTGATCAAATAAAATATGTTGTATTTGCTTGTCTCTTGCTTCTTTTGAAATTGGAGGGAATAGTAGCAAAAAAAGTAACAGCAGACAACGATTCTGAGGATCTAGTGGTGTCTTTTTCTAGCTCTGCTCCTCAGATAAAGTATGATCTCTTTCTCAACTTTAGAGGTGCAGACATTCGTGAAGGTTTCCTCAGTCATTTGAATAAGACTTTATATCAAAAGCAGATTTTTCCCTTCGTAGATGACATGCTTCCCAAAGGGTGTGAAATATTGGAAGATCTTCTTGGAGCAATTGAAAGATCATTGATTTCATTGGTCATATTCTCTCAAAACTATGCTTCTTCATCTTGGTGTTTGCTAGAGCTTGTGAAAATACTTGAGTGCAAAGAAAAAGATGGACAGATTGTGCTACCCGTTTTCTACAAAGTCGACCCCTCACAAGTACGGCATCAAAAGGGGGCTTATAAAAATGCATTTTCTGAACATGAAAAAAGGCATAGTTTAATCAAGTTGCAAACCTGGAGATCTGCTTTGAAGGAAACTGCTAATTTAGAAGGATTTCATTCTTCAAATTTTCGGTAAGTTTATTTGAAATAAATAAATAAATGTTCAATATTTTCCCGCTATGTATTTATTATATAGCTATATGCCTCTTATCAAGCTTGTTCCTTACAGACTTTTATCTAGTTTTACATCCAAAGTAAGGCATGTTTAAAATAATAATAATGTCATTTATATTCTTACATTTTCTCGTTTATTTTGTAGAAATGAAGCCGAGCTTGTTGAAGAAATAGTTAAATGGGTACAGAAGAGATTGAAACATGTGCACCAAGTTAACTCAAAAGGATTTGTTGGAATTGCAAAGCCAATTTCACATGTAGAATCACTGTTACGGTTAGAGTCAGAAGATGTTCGTGTTATTGGAATTTGGGGTATGGGTGGTATTGGTAAGACAACTATTGCAGAAGAAGTATATAACAGATTGCATGCTGATTACGAAGGGTTTTGTTTTCTGGCTAATGTAAGAGAAGAGTTGGGAAGACAGGGAATAATCTCTTTGAAGACAAAGCTTTTTTCCACACTACTAGGGGAACAAGATTTGAAAATTGAAACCCCAAATGTATTGCCTACTTATGTGGAGAAAAGGCTTCGTCGTATGAAGGTTCTTATTGTTCTCGATGATGTCAATGATTCGGAGCAACTAGAAAGTTTAGTTGGAACAAAGGACAGGTTTAAAAATGGTAGTAGAATCATCATAACTACTAGAGATAAGCAAGTGCTTGCTAAATGGGTTGATGATATATACGAGGTTCAGGCACTGGACTTTGATGAGTCTTTCCGGCTTTTCAATTTGAATGCCTTTGAACATAATCATATTGACAGAGAATACTATGAACTGTCTAAGAGCATGGTCGAGTATGCCAAAGGCGTTCCAGTAGTTCTTAAAGTTTTGGGTCATCTTCTTCGTGGAAAAGATAAAGAAATATGGGAAAGCCAATCAAAAAGGCTCAAAAAAGTGCCCAATAAAAAGGTTCATGATGTTATTAAGATTAGCATTGATGATGATCTTGATCACGATGAGAAGAAGATATTTTTGGATATTGCATGTTTTTTCGATGGATTGAATTTGAATGTTGACAAAATAAAACTTCTATTAAAGGATCGTGATTATTCTGTTGCTGCTGAGTTAGAAAGGTTAAAAGATAAAGCTCTTATAACTATTTCTCAAGAGAATATTGTATCCATGCATAACATTATACAAGAAACCGCTTGGGAGATGGTTCGCCAAGAATCTATTGAAGACCCCGGACACCGAAGTCGACTGCTGGATGCTGATGACATTTATCAAGTGCTGAAAAATAACAAGGTAAAATCCCTAAGTTACAAAAATGTACCTTATTTTTTGTAGGAAAAGTGAGTTATAAAGATGTTTGAAAATTTTCTACTACTTTGGTGGCAGGGGAGTGAGGCCATTAGAAGCATAGTCCTCAACTCGTCGATGAATCAGGAGCTGCAGTTAAGCCCTCAAGTATTTGCTAAGATGAGCAAACTACAATTTCTTGATTTGTATTGTGATTGGCCTTATAAAGTGTTGTATCTTCCTCAAGGGCTTGAATCTTTGCCAAATGAACTAAGATATCTTCGGTGGGCTTTCTACCCTTTGGAATCCTTGCCATCCAAGTTTTCTGCGGAAAATCTTGTTGAATTGAACTTGCCCTACAGCCGAGTGAAAAAACTTTGGCACCAAGTGCAGGTAAATAATACATGTGTGCATTTGCATTCCAAGGAATACAAATAAACAACTTCCATTAGCTCATGCTTTTGTTTAATTTGTTACAGGAACTTGAGAATTTAAACACCCTCGTACTGCATTCATCCACAAGCCTGGTGGAACTGCCAGACTTTTCAAAGGCCACAAATCTTAAAGTCATAGATCTCCGTTTTTGTCTAGAGCTGACTAGTGTGCATCCATCTGTTTTCTCTATCAACAAGCTTGAGAAATTGGATCTAGGTGGATGCATTTCCCTTTCAACCCTTGGAAGCAATATCCATCTGAGCTCCCTTCGTTTTCTCTCCCTCAATGGCACGGGTATCAAACAACTACCCTCATCTATTGAACTTCAAAGCAAACTTGAAAAGCTAAATCTAGCATACACTTACATTGAGAACTTGCCTGCAAGCATCAAGCATCTTACAAAGCTTCGACATCTAGATATTCAGCACTGTAGGGAGC